AACTCCATGACTTTTCCCTTCAAGTTGAATAGAAATAAATGGCCCCGCGTTGATGCAATTTTAACTAAATAAATTGTGTAATACAGTCTAACGTTAATGTAGTTTTAACAAAATAAATGATGTAATTCAGCCCCGCGTTGATGCAATTTTAACTAAATAAATTGTGTAATACAGTCTCACGTTGATGTAATTTTAACAAAATAAATGATGTAATTCAGCCCCGCGTTGATGCAATTTTAACTAAATAAATTGTGTAATACAGTCTCACGTTGATGTAATTTTAACAAAATAAATGATGTAATACAGTCTCACGTTGATGCAAGTTTAACTAAATAAATTGTGTAATACAGTCTCACGTTGATGTAATTTTAACAAAATAAATGGTGTAATACAGTCTCACGTTGATGCAATTTTAACTAAATAAATAGTGTAATACAGTCTCACGTTCGTGCAATTTTAACTAAATAAATGGTGTAATACAGTCTCACGTTCATGCAAGTTTAACTAAATAAATGATGTAATACAGTTTCGTCCATCGGTGGGACAGTTGTAAGTCTTCGGACGTACAACACTAAAATACGGGGTTCGATTCCCCGCGATAAACACAGCAGGTACCCCATTGAGGGTTTGTTCTAAAACAATCGAACACTGGTGTTTGTTGTTGAGAAAATGCAACTAATGGGCATAAACATATGTAAAATATTATGATATATTAAAGCATAAACACATGTAAAATATTATGATATATTAAAGCATAAAAACATGTAAAATATTATGATATATATTAAAGCATAAACACATGTAAAATATTATGATATATTAAAGCATAAAAACATGTAAAATATTATGATATGTTAAAGCATAAACACATGTAAAATATTATGATATATTAAAGCATAAACACATGTAAAATATTATGATATATATTAAAGAAATACGACAAAATTATCTGGTAAGATGCAAGATCGTTTAACCACAGATTTTGTAAAAAATATAAAGATGTTTAAGAATAAAATTAGTGGACCTTATGAACAAAATACATTTCTCACCATCTAAAACCTTCTTTTCTTTTCGTGGAAGAAGCATATGAAGCTTTAACAAATAAACTATTAATTTTGCAGAAATGCCATTTCATACATGACTTGATCTTCAATCTGATAAAAATTAGAGTAAAAATCAATCCGTTTATTTCATGTACGAAATGCCTACTATTATGATTAAGTTACCTGTATATACCCTACAATAACTATATATATAGATCAGAAGTAGAATGATTTAAACATGAAACATATAGTAATAACTAATGGACTCGAAAGACGTAATGGTATAAATCAATTTTCCAGAAAACTGAAACCTACGATAATTGGTTTCCTTGAATCATCAACTGATTACTTTGGATACACCAGTCACACTGTGTATTTCAGGTTGGATACACCAGTCACACTATGTATTTCATGATGATTCAATGCAAACGAATCATCGTAGATTTAGCATTGGCCATCGTAGATTTAGCATGGGTTTCTTACTAGTTGGATACACCAGTCACACTATGTATTTCATGATGATTCAATGCAAACGAATCATCGTAGATTTAGCATTGGTTTCTTACTAATTGGATACACCAGTCACACTGTGTATTTCATGATGATTCAATGCAAACGAATCATCGTAGATTTAGCATTGGTTTCTTACTAATTCATTTGCATTGAATCATCAGATAAATAAGAAATCGTTGTTTTCTACAACAGAATGACAAGCGTAAATGTTACCAAATTTCTCAATACGGTCGCTATTGAAAATATTACATCTCTCTCTTATAACCGTTATATATAATATTTAAATATTAAGTAAACTTTCCATTTCTGTTATTTTTTCTCGTAGAACCACCATAGTTTTACTATAGAAATATTTTTCTTTTTTTAGTGTGTGTTGTTCAAGGTTCAACATCATCCTGATTTTCCAGAGTATACGCAGTGTGTAACCTTTGAGTTTCTATCGGATCCTTGGCAAGATCGAACTTATAACATCTTCTGCATTCTAGTCCTGTACGGGGTTCCTCTGATTATCATAATATACTGCTATTCCAAGATTCTGTGGGTGATTACTCGACGGTCCCGAGATAACGAAGGTAACGATTAGCATCTGATTTCCATGTTTATATTTTCAATGTTTGGCCAGATACATGCTTTTATAATACGTCATCATCATTATGTAATGTTCAGGTATGAGAACAAAAAACAATAGGTTTTGAGTCAATGACTAACACTTGTTTAAGTAGGAAATGGATGTACTCAAGAACCAAAGAATCAAACGAACTGTAAGCCTATTTGGATGTATATTGTTATATTTTTATTCCAACAATTACGTTTTTTTTTCTTCATAAAAACTAATAATTTTGTTCCTCTCGCTAGATGGCTACCTGCGTTGTGCTCAGCACGGGTATCGAAACCCGTTTTTAGAGTTATAAGCCTTCAGACTTATTGCTGAGACACCGGAGAGCTCACACTAGAAAAAAAAATTGGAATACCAAAAAAAACAAAAAAACTGAGATTATTTTTATTTGCCAATAATATAATTCACATAGGGACACATCAGAAATGTTAATAAGTCATAAGATTATTGAATTATTCCAAATACAAAACCATAAGAAGAGTAAAAAAATATAATAAACTAAAAACTACTAAATATATATTTAGTTAGTTTAACACAAAACATTCAGTGAACTTTGTTGGTGATGATTATATTTCGTGAGACATTGAAAAATCAGCATTATGAATTCTGTACGTGTCTAGCATGTGGCTAGTCTCTTCAAGTAGCGCTTTAACATGACTTTTTATGACTGTATGTAGACCTAAAATTGCTTGTCAATTGTTTAATTTAATGAGCCATCCAGTATAATGACAAAATACTATGCGGCCTTTTCTGTTCATTTGGAAGTTTCTGAACTTTTTTTCGTATGGCTTTTATAGGAAAAAAAATGCATATATATTCTTCGCTCAGAAGTGTTTTTACACAATTGTGTTAAGTTGTTAAGTTATTATAGCGTATAGTTAGGTTTAATAGAGATCCCCCCCATCAATGGCTTAGCGGTAAGTCTGCAGGCTTACAATGCTAAACATCTGGTTTCGATACCTGTGGTGGGCTGAACACAGATAGCCCATTGTGCTGATTTTTGCTTAACAACAAACAAACTAAATTAATAGAGATTCATCTCCAGTAAAACCTGTATTAAATTTGCAATAACATCTATTGTGGAACTGTTATTCGTGACATTAGTTTCCTCATCAATATATAATTGGGTATTTTTACTGCCTAACATCTCCATCATCTTTGTTCTAAGCACGATTCCCCCCCCCCTTTTTTTTATATGACTGAACTTTTATCGTATTGTGGCTTTAGGATAGTTATAGTGTTTGAAAGAAACTATAACGTTGTGTTTCCAAAACTTAGATTATAATTGAATATATGTTGTTGTTTTTCCTTCTCTCATTAGTTTGTAAAGAAAAAAATCAATTTCCTTTCTTTGAACTCTAGTTTTGAATTATCCAGGATTGATAAAACAAGTAAAAGCATTCAACATTTAAAAATGCATAATAATTAATTTATTCTATAAGTTAAAGTAAAATATACAATTAAAAACTCTACATGTTTAAGTTAAAGTAAAATATACAATTAAAAACTCTACATGTTTAAGTTAAAGTAAAATATACAATTAAAAACTCTAC